TGAAGACAAACAAAACACTGGCGAGTGTTTTGTTTGTCTTCATTGGAGAACCATTTCTAAATGAAGCCAAATGTACGTTTAAAATTTTGTTAAATTTTCGTTTCTGCGAATGATATTATTTTTTGCAAAGTTTTTGTGTCCTTTGTTTTTGTTTTTTTTTTAAGTTAGTTCTAAATAATGAGTAAACTTGGGTACATATATAATAACATCTTTAATACTACATATTGAGTTAGAACTGATGAAGCTTTAGAAGTATAAAGCGAAATGTCTTCTATAAACTTATGAAGTAGTTGACTTCTGTTTTTTTATTTTGCCAACCTGAACGACCCATTAACCTCTGAATTCACTAGTTGAATACTTTATTAATATATATATATATATATATATATATATATATATATATATATATATATATTATTATATATATATATATTATATATATATATATATATATATATATATATATATAGTTGGGAGATTAAATAATTATAACCATATTTTAGCATATTCCGAAGAAGCGAATAAATTTTGTGAAAGCTAAATAAAAGAACAAAGAGTTTTACTTATCCTGCCCTATTAATGACTGCAACCTCAAAAGAAAAATATTTATATACATATATATACAAGGTGGTCCAGAATTATGTACATTAATTTCTAGAGCTCATAGTACGTCCAAAAATAAGGGTACTTCTTTATGTACACTTTTTTATAAAACTGAATAATAAGGGAGATACAACCCTTTAAAGGGGTGAATTGAAATTCTTATTTTTTCAAATATCTTCCAAACGGTTTTGAATACGGAGTTCATATTTTGGGAGTGATTATAAGACATTAGGATAATTAATTTCATGTCACCACCTACCACATCCTATATTAATACAGGGTAGTTTTGGAGGGTAAGTGGGGGTTATTGCGTCACATGTTTTTTTAATTTTTACATATTTTAAAAAAATATTTTAAAAATTGTTTCCTTAGACTTTTCTACGTAAAAAAGGTGCTCTTGTAATATTTCGATAGATATCACCGTTTTCCATTTATTTAAACTCGAAGGTATACATGTATTTTATTGTAATCGTTACATTTCTTAATATTCATCAAGTATACTTTGGAATTGACACTTGTGTTAGCAATAATATTACAAATTAATGGAAAACTTAATTAATACTTAACATTTAATTAATGTCGAAAATATTATTTCACAACAACTGTTCAAAATGTCCTCCATTTTGTTGAATACATAATCTAATTCTTTTATTTAGCGAACACATTAATCCATTTAATGTTACTGGATCGTTTTGTAAATCGATAAATACTTGTTCAATTTTGTCTCTTAACTCATTTACTGTATTAATTGGAGTGTTATACACTTTTGATTTCAAATAACTTCATACTGTCAAGTCCATTGGATTAAGATCACAACTACGAGCAGGCCAATGAATCGGTGCATCCGCACCCCGGCCTATCCACCTATCAGGGAAATGTTCATGTAACCACCTTCTACAAATTCTTGTGTAATGTGGTGTAGCACCATCATGCATGAAAAACATGTTTCTGCGTATCTGTAATGGAATATCTTCCAAAATATCATGTAAAATATTGTCTAGAAAATTGTAATACATGTTACCATTTAAATTTCCGGGAAAGATGTGGTATCTATGAAACTATTTCCTAAAGTAGCTGCCCAAACGTTTATCTTGAACGTGTGTTGGAAGTGAGTTTCCATTGTAGCCCTTGGATTTTCTTCAGCCCAGACGTGCATATTTCTAGAATTGAACATACCTTGTCTTGTAAATGTGGCCTCGTCTGTAAACAGAATGTTGCTTAAAAAATTTGGTGCAGTTTGAACTTTATTTTGCAATACTTCACAAAAATCAACTCTAAGTGGCATATCGTCAGGTAACAATTCCTGCACCTGTCGATAGTGGTAAGGATGTAATTGCTCTTCATGCAGAACTCTTAAAACACTTTGATGGGAAATATTCGTTCTTAATCCTAACCTGCGTGTACTTATTGTGGGGTCATTTATTACAGCATCCAATATTTGCTGTTCAACGCGAACATTTCTTGCTTCTCTACGACGACCAGCATCTGTATTCCTTCTTTGAAGATAACCGGTTTCTCTCAGTCGTCGTTCAGTACTTACAAAAGTCCTGACATTGGGAATATTTCTGTTCGGATACTTTTCTCTGTAGCGTCTTACAGCGGCAGCAGCATTTCCCGAACATTTCCCTAATACTAAAAGTATGTCTGTCATCTCAGAATTTGAATAGTGTGCCATATTGCGGGCAAACAAATTTAAAAATATAGCAAAAGAGACGTGTTAATACAAATTTCACTGTCGAGTACAATAAAAGTGTAGATAAAATAATTTAATTGTTTTTAAACGTCACTGACAATTCATAGACTACTTGAGATTAAAGTGTTGTTGCTAACACAAGTGTTAATTCCAAAGCATACTTGATGAATATTAAGAAATGTAACGATTACAATAAAATACATGTATACCTTCGAGTTTAAATAAATCGAAAACGGTGATATCTATCGAAATATTACACGAGCACCTTTTTTGCATAGAAAAGTCTAAGGAAACAATTTTTAAAATATTTTTTTAAAATATGTAAAAATTAAAAAACATGTGACGCAATAACCCCCACTTACCCTCCAAAACTACCCTGTATTAATATAGGATGTGGTAGGTGGTAACATGAAATTAATTATCCTAATGTCTTATAATCACTCCCAAAATATGAACTCCGTATTCAAAACCGTTTGGAAGATATTTGAAAAAATAAGAATTTCAATTCACCCCTTTAAAGGGTTGTATCTCCCTTATTATTCAGTTTTATAAAAAAGTGTACATAAAGAAGTACCCTTATTTTTGGACGTACTATGAGCTCTAGAAATTAATGTACATAATTCTGGACCACCTTGTATATATATATATATATATATATATATATATAATATATATATATATATATATAATATATATATATATATATATTATATATATATATTAATATATATTATATATATATATATATATATATATATATATATATATATATATATGTAGGTAGGAGATTAAATAATTATAACCATATTTTAGCATATCCTGAAGAAGCTAATAAATTGTGAAAGCTAAATAAAAGAACAAAGAGTTTTACTTATTCTGCCCTATTAATGACTGCAACCTCAAAAGAAATAGTTCACCTAACGTGTCAGTCAATAATATCTAACGACTATATATAAAATATATATTGTATGAAAATCACATTCCATAGTTTGGAATTTGTGGCATTCGGCCATGGCTCCCTCCATCAAACTTCACTCTTATGGAAAAATTGTTATTTTTTACAATATACTAATTTAAATACTTAAGCTTAAATTCACGTAGTAAATAAAACATCTAGTAAATTATATTAGAATTTCAACAGTTCGTTTCATCCGCAAGCATGAATACATTTTGAAAATTTAGCACAAGGTGACGTCATGCGCGTGAGTGTACGAGTTTAGTGCGTGGCAATATCATATCTGGTATCCTTATATCATGTAAAATAAAGAAATACTGTTAAGGTTGTTATAAAGAGAAGATTCGGGGAAACATAACCAAAAATCGGTTCAAAAAAGTAGTAACTTACTTTGACACTTGTGAAGGTCAACCACACGTTTGTTTAGATTGTTTCAACAAACACTCCAAATAACTGTGATTTTTAATTTCTTTCATGTTCTTATTTAACTTTTGTATGTCTTTTAGTTTGCTATGAATATTTCTTACAGTTTTATATTTTTTACTCGAAATAAAAATATGTCAAAATTTCGATATCATTTCGATAAAAATTTCGTTAAGTTTTAAAAACTTTAATTATAAGGTTTTAGAAATTTGGATTAAGGTAAAACTTGTATAAAAAATACCTTATACAGTATTGTAAAGCTTTCTACGACTTCTTCTTCAATTTCCATACCTGTCATATATACCAGGCACTTAACCAACAATAATATTGTGGGTTAAGCGCCTGAATAGTTATATTAAACTGCATCCAACCTATTCACGGAGATTGCGTAGCCACAATATTTCACATCATCCTACGCTTCTCTGATTTTGCTTTGCATTATATTACTTAATAGTTTGTATTTTTCACCTCTCATCATGTGTCTCAACTATTCCAACTTCCTGATTTGGATGGAATTTAAAAGGTCGCATTGTTTTCCTAGTTGTTCGAGAACTTGTGCGTTAGGTTTGCGATGCTTCCATGATATTTTCAGAATATGCCGATAAAACCACATTTCGAATGCTTCTGTTTTAAATGTTGGATTATTTTAGTGTTCGGGGCGTTCAGGCCTCAACCCCATACAAAAGAGTGGAGAAAATATATCATCGAAGCATTCTAATTCGGAGCGTTATATTGATATTGCAATTTCAGAAAAGTATACTCATTCTATTAAAAGTTGACCGTTCAATTTCATTACTGCATCTTATTTTTTTTGTTTAATCTCTATCTTCTGTGATCCATGCTTTGAGGTATTTGTACGAAGATTTTTTTTGTATTATCTAGTACTGGTTTAACTTGATGATTTGTGATTTTGTAAATACCATGAACTTGGTTTTCTTTAACTTTATTTTTAGTCAATAGTCGTTGCAATGTATATTTAGTTCTTATCACTTGTTGTCTACTTGGAATGTTGTCAATTTCCGAAGAAGCGGTTACTCCATTAAGTAATTTATTTATTAGTTCGAATCGAATTACAAAAAAAGTTTGCAGAAGAAAAATTCAAGGTAAATATAGGTTTACTGAATTAATAATATATCGTTCGTATTATTATGTAACTGCAATTACGGTCCTGTAATTCACGAAGCGAAGCTCTTTTCACCTCGAAAATTCTGCCTATAATAGCAGACCTCTGCCTATCAATGCTTTACTCGCAATATTTTAACCCAAAGAAAAACGTAAGAGTAGATATAAAGTCGTCCGTCCAATTTTTTCAAATTAAATATACATCATTCATTTACATAGAAATTTATTATAACTTGTACATAGAAAAATCATATATCTAATATATTTTATTTTAATCATATTCACAGCCTTCTTGATCAGTCACGATTATTGGTTTTCGAGAAATATTGTTGTCTTCTAGAACTTGGATAATAGCATCTACATCGTCTGGTGATGCATATTGATGTCTTGTTGTCAGGAAAAGACTCTCTGGAACAATAAAAAAGAATTTAAATCATTATTTATTTAATGGAATTTTAATATTAACAACATAAGGCAAAAGGCTTTTTCCTTTTATGTTATATAATAGACTGTTGTCTGGTTTTTCTCAAATTTTTACCTCCACTTGGATATAGATTATTGTTTTACCACCTTTGTTGGTCTACTCTGTCATTAAATTAATTTCATCTCCTTCATTGATTTCCTTTAACGCGTTTAAATCGTTATTTTTACCCATAAGTATGTACAATTTAATATTAAAACCTGGCCTTACACATAATGAAAATATAAGACAGGTATTTCTTTTTCCTTTTCCTATAAGTGTTAGGTTTCTACATTAGAATATTCACGAATGGTGTTATTAATATAACACTCTTTAGCAATTTTCTATCTTTGTTAATCCTCCTTATTACTTCCTCATTACTTTTTATTACTGTTCAAGGTATCTTCAGCATTCGTCTATGAATTCACATTTTCAATGCCTTAATTCTGTTCATACTTGATACTTTTAGTATCCACACCTCTGTTCCATACGAAAGTACTTCTTCCTTCTTGTATGTAGGCTTTAAAGCATGTTTCTTCTTCAACATTAGCCTCCCAAATTGTTTAAATTATCGCACCATCTTTTTCTTGGTCTGCCAATACTTCTTCGTCCATTTGGTGACTTATCTCATGCTATTCGTACTATCCTATCCTCTGCCATTCTACTAATGGGTTCGTTCCACTCCTGTTATCGTTTTGTCACCCATCCATTTATGTCGTCCATATTGCATGTTCTTCTTATGTTCTTGTTTCTCTCCCGATCCAACAAACTTTTCCCTGATATTCGTCGAAGTATTTTCATCTCTGCTTATTCTAGCAGTGTTCTCGTTTTAGATGTGTCAGGTCTTGTCTCCGCCGTTTATGTTAATATACAGTGTGTAAAAGCCAAATGGAATAAATTCATTATTTAGGTTACTGTACATATTTATAAAAAATCCCGAAACACGTCAAATTTAAATTATAACTTGACATTCTTTATCGTGAAAATGCAACCTCTACCTTCAACCCCCTTAGAATGACAGGTACAACCCCAATTTTTAAAATAGGAAGTATAGGCTTGTGATATATCGTTTGAAAGGTCTTTTCATTCTCCATTCAAAAATGTTGTCGCTTTCAAGTTTATTAAGATTAATTAAGATAAAATAAATTAAAATCATGTGGTTACCGAAATTCGCTACAATACAATCAAAAACTAAAATGTAATGCAAAACGTAATAAAATGTAGAACACGAAAAAGAACTATGAATGTTAATGAAGTAGATATTCAAAATGTTCACCGCAACATCCTAATCTCAAATAAAACTATCTTCTAACATTATTTAACATAACAGGCGTGATCGACCTAATCGCAAGCGTTATTCTTTCTTTTAAGTCATTTAAATCAGAAAGTTTAGTTTTGTACACATGGCTCTTCATCCCTATAAAAAGAAATCTAATAATGTAAGATCAGGTGATCGCGCTGGCCATTCAATCGATCCTCGCCTCCTTATCCACCGATTGGGAAATATTGTATCGAGGTACTACCGGACATTAAGTTGGTAATGTGGTGGTGCTCCATCCTGCTGAAACCATATCGTATTCGCTGGAACTTGAGGGTTTTCTGGATCAGGAATATAAATTTGCCAACGTTGGAATGACATCATTTTGAAGTAGTGCCAAATCATTGTTGCCATTCAAGTTGCCCTCAATGAAAAAGGGACCAATGATATTGTTTCCTACAATCCCTGCCCAAACATTAACCTTTTGAGGTTATTGAGTGTGTTCTTCTCTCATCCAGTGAGGATTTTTCGTGGCCCAGTAGTGGCAATTTTGCCGATTAGCAAGACCGTTAAGTGAAAAAGTACACTCATCAGAAAACATAACGTCTTCTAATTGGATAATATTGTTGTCCATCATTTGCTCACAAAAAAAGTTCTCCTATCAAAATCGTCTCCATGAGCTCCTGAGTAGGTACATCTTATACGATGCAATTTATTTTCTTTTAATATGTTTACTATCGATGTATGGCTACATTGATGTAGTGGATGCTGTCTACTGATGTATGTGGATTTCCTGAAACTCAGCAACACATTAATTTGAGTTCATCACTCAGTGCATTGGCAGCTGCTTTTTTATCTGCTTACATGACCAAACTCGCGAAACTGCTTCTCTATTTTACTACTGTTCCTTGGATATAGGCGGTAAATTAGGAAATTTATCATGAAATAGGCGAGTTACTTCCTGTTGTGTTCGGGTGTTATCTTCGTAACCAATCATTTGTAAAACTGTTATTTTATGCATTTCCGTTAATCTAACCATTTTTCAGAATTGAATTGAACGAACTTTTTACTTAAATTAAAATACTGACAACTTAAATAAAACAATTTATTAATGCGTGTTAAAATAACTATTGCCACGGAAATTCTTTAAAGTTTTTTAATGGTTACCATCTAAAAACCACATTGCTATGGTTTTTGTTCACTTTCTCATTATCAAGACCTAAACGGGAAATAAGTTTTGAGTATATTTTAGCGAATTTTGGTAACCACACGATTTTAATTTATTTTATCTTAATTAATCTTAATAAACTTGAAAGCGACAACATTTTTGAATGGACAATGAAAAAGACCTTTCAAACGATATATCACAAGCCTATACTTCCTATTTTAAAAATTGGGGGTTGTACCTGTCATTCTAAGGGGGTTTAAGGTAGGAGTTGCATTTTCACGTTAAAGAATGTCAAGTTATAATTTAAATTTGACTTGTTTCGGTATTTTTTATAAATATGTACAGTAACCTAAATAATGAATTTATTCCATTTGGCTTTTACACACTGTAGGTCTAATTGCTGCTTTATAGATTCTTGTTTTTGTATCTTGTCTTAGGTGTTTGTTCTTTCAGATTGTGTCATTAAGAGATGTCGCAGCTTTCATCATCATCATCAATGGTGCTACAGCCCTATGAAAGAGCCTCGACCTTCCCAAGTCTATTACGCCAGGCAGTCCTATCCATTGCCAACCGTTGACAGTTTGCTGCGCCTATCTTTCTACCATCCTCATCTACACCATCCTTCCATTTGAGTTTTGGCCTACTCCTTTTTCTACTTCTCAAGGGTTGTGACATAAGAATTCTTCTAGGAGGGTTGTTCTGCTGTGATCTTGCTAGATGTCCTGCACATCTTCTATTCTTATAAGAGATACTACGTTTTTACCACCAAATATTTGTTTATATCTGTGGTATACCTCGTAGTTATATCTCCTCCTCCAAACACCATTTTCACAGATGCCACCAAATATTCCTCTCAGGATCCTTCGTTCAAATCTAAGCAGAAGGTCTTCGTCTGCCTTGGAGATGGTCCATGTTTCTGATCCATATGTCAACACTGGCTGTATAAGGGTTTTGTATATGGTTATTTTTGTTTTTTGGCTTAAGTTTCTACTTCTCATATGTCTACTTAGTCCAAAATAGCATCTGTTTGCCAGATGTCGCAGCTTTACTTGCTTTTAAACTTTGTTGTCGTACTTCTTCTTCAACATCTCCGTAACTAGTTATGTCTATTCCCAGATATCCAAACCTTGCTTCATGCTTTATTATTTTTCCATCAATTTCGATTTTACATTTTAGTGGGTATTTAGATGTTGTAATACATTTGGTTTTTTCTGCTGATATTAACATATTATATTTCTTGGCTGTTGTATTGAAAATGTGTATTAATCTTTCGAGCTCGTCTTCTGTCTCGGCGATTAATGTGGCGTCGTTTCTTTGTTCCCCATTCTGTATCCGTGGCATTTACGTACTGCTTGTATTATTTCGTTTATTATCATATTAAAGAGAAGTGTCTGACTCCGCTTTGTACTGGTATACACTGTGTTAGTTTTTAATTTATCTTTGCCTGTAATCGATTATGGAAGTGATGTTTTCGATGGTTTGTATATTAATAATTGGTATGTTTCTTTTATACAGTAGGTATAAGACGTCTTCGACTTGGATGTGATCGACAGCCTTTGTCAGGTCTATAAAACATAGATATGCTGGTTTATTGTACTGGATGGCCTTGTCTATGATTTGTCTTAGTACAAATACGACTGTCTACGCAGGATCTTCCAGATCTGAATCCTTGTTCATCTGATAAAGTTGTTATTTTATTGATTTTGTTGGTTAGGACTTTTGTGGTAAGCTTAAGTACGGTGTTCAATAGATTTATACCTCTATAATTGTTGGGGTCTTCTTTATCTCCTTTCTTGAACATTAGTATCATTATACTGTTTCTTGATGCGTCTGGTATCTTGCAGTGCAATATTAGTTTTTGTATACGTTTTGTCATATTTTCTCATCCGTGTTATAGAAGCTCGTTGGTTCTTCCGTCTGGCCTGGTGACTTTCTATTTTTGAGTGAATTTATGGCTATCTCTACTTCCTGAAAACTGATTTTAATTTCCTGTCTTATTCAGGTACGTTATTGTGTTGATTATTATTTTCCTTTCCTTTAAACAGTTCCGTCAGAGATCTTTTCCATTCGTTTGCTGGTATGTTATTGTATTTCTTCAATTCTGCCATTTCTTTCCGTTGTTTTCTTATAAATCTTCATATTTGTTTTTGTATACCATAGAAGTCGCTTTTCATCCTTTTTGTAAACTGTTCCTAGTGTTCATTTTTTGTTCTTCTTACGGGATTCTTGAGTTTTTAATGTTTTGTACTTCGTGTACTTTCTATACGAAAGTATAGACCAAATATAGCGCTTAACCATTCTTTGTCTTAGCTAGTTAAATCGAGATGATTATTGCAAGAAATGTCTTCATCTTCATAAAAGTAGTTTTAGTCATTGCTATTCTTCATTTTACTGCTATGTCTGGATCTATTTGGTCCATTATTACAGTTCCCAAATATGTAATTTTGTGAACTTTTTCAACTTGGACTCCATTTAATTGAAGCTCTGCATCTGGTTACGACTAAAGATTAAAACTTTGGTTTTGTTTAAGTTTATTTTAAGGTCCATTTCCTCTCCTATTTTCTGAATACGATTAAGCAAAATTTGGAGACCGTTAATATTTTGTGACAGAGGTTTTGTGACAAAGACATATGTCTCTGTCTCTGTTGTCTCTAAAGGGCTGTTTTAAAAAGCTGGTGCAAGTAAACATTTAATAATGTTGGGTACAAAATGCAACCTTGTCTAACTCCTCGTTGTATGGAGATTTCGTCGGATTAATTGTCTCCAATTTTTAAGATAGCAGTTTGATTTCAGTGGGTATCTTCGAGATCTTTCTTCGCATTTCAGTCTAATTCTGTTGTAGAATATTTCTGACGATTTATTATATGTAGGTAAAAGTATTCGGTCATTCTTGAACTACAGAGCGCAAGCGACCCAGTAACAAAGCCATAGCTACGGCTGCCACAACTACAGAGTTGTGAGCATAGATTATATTGGGATCAAACCATTTACTTATTTCCATGTTTCTAAATTTCTCCTTTCAGTTCTTTAATGGTTGTTTTTTATTCGTTTATATTTACACATTCTTATTCATTGCCAGAATTTGCTTTAACTAAATTTTCACTTATATCGATTCCAACGTAGGCCTTCTATAAAATGGCGTAGGCTTTATACTACATACAGTTCTTACATGAGGCTATTACTCATTCATAAGCCATATTATTTTCAATAAGTTGTATAACACACCAAAGCTGGACAATAGAATTCCTTTCCGATTTAATTTTTGCTTGATTTAATATAATACTTTTATAGTAGTTACGTTATTACTGAGCCTTAATATTTACATATTACACAGTATTAGCAAAAAATAGTACATACCTAGAGTAACACCGTCTCGTTCGAAGCAGGAGAAACCTACAGAATATCTTTTATAGTCTGTACCAAGAATCCAGAAAGGTACAGTTACATCTGAAAACAAATAAAATAGTTATACAATACGTTAAAACTATTTGAATAAAATATAAAACTCTTCCATAATTTTATTTCACATCATTGTTTTGGTTTCCAATCTTATGAGTTGTAGATGTTAAGAAATTTAAAAACTTTTCAACAAAATAAAATTTTATTGTAAACTTACACATACGGAAACAACAAAATTGTTTTATCATGAAGAAAATAATAGATTTAATTTTTGAATAGAATGTTATCATAAGTGAAAAATATTTTAAAATTATAATCATTAACTAATCTTAATTAAATTTTAGCCCCAAAACAAAAATAAAGATTTTATAATTTATATAAAAGTTAAATTTTTATTTACAATAAATTAAATAAATTATTTTAACAGAACAAGATACCGCTCACTTATAGTTAGTGCCCGTTTTTTGGTTCTGAAGCGTTTTTCCTCTAATTTTTTCATAACATGTCGATTTTACGATACACCGAAAATTTATAGATGCTGCTATTATTTTTAATAATTTTAATATTTTAATAATTTTAATAAAAATATTTTACTATTTAATTTTAATTTAATAACATTAATAAACTAAAAGATCCCGACAATGTAAATGTATACAGACAGTAAATAGAAGATCAAATAAGGACAAAAAATTTAGAAGAAGAAGATATTTACCAACTATGGGCAAATATAAGAGATATTGTGTTACAGAAATCCGTTGAAATATTGGGCAAACCCAAGTCAGAAAAAAGAAATCATTGATTTGATCATGAGTGCGAAATGGCCACAAATAGAAATGAACGCAGCATATCAAAAAACCATTGACGCAGATTGTACACAGAGAAAAAAGAAGAGTATAGACGTCTTAGAAGAGAGAAAAACGTATTCATCGACGTAAGAAGAGGGAATACGAACAGAACACTCTCAGTGAGATACAAAGTTTATTCGATAAAAATGAAACGAGGAAATACTATAAATCATTAAATACTAGCCGTCGAGAATTTAAACTACGATGAAAAAGTTGTAAAGACACTAACGGTGAAATTCTACATGATAAAAACTCAGTTATTAACAAATGGGCACAACATTTCAGCGAATTTCTAAATATAAACGATATTGAAGGAGGTTATAACATAGAAAATCAACAAAATCTACAACGTCAACTACACAGTGAAGACTCAACAAGAGAAGAAGTTTCAAATGCGATCCTAAAACTCAAAGATAATAAAGCCTCAGGAATCGATGAAATCTGTTCGGAAATGTATAAAAAAGGTAGTGATCAACTTTTTGCAGCAATCTATAAACTAATAGTACTTATATGGCAGAATGAATGGGTACTAGAAGGGAATATGTCTGTTGCATAAAAAGGGTAATCAACTGGAGTGTAAGAACTACAGAGCCATTACTCTGTTAGCATCTGCGTATAAAATCTTCGGCAATGTATTATTTGAAAGATTTAAACATTTTACCAAGGATATTGTTGGTCAATATCAATGCGGATTTACTGCTGGCAAGTCAACTACACATCAAATTGAAGCACATAGGCAGATTCTAGAAAAGTCACTGGAATATAACATAGATACATACCATCTCTTCATTGACTTCAAAGCAGCCTATGACAGTGTGAACAGAACTGCATTATATAATATAATGATAGACTTTGGGATCCGCCCAAGTTAGTTAAGTTGACCCAAGTAAAAATGCAAAACGTAAGCTCATGCGTTAGAATTGAAGGGAAAACTCTACGTTCTTTGACATTAATTATGGTCTAAGATAGGGGGACGCGTTGGCGTGTCTCCTCTGTAATATTGCCTCAGAAAAGGTAATCAGATAATTAAATATTAGAATTAATGGAACTATTTTTAATAAATCGACACAAATTCTAGCATTCTCTGACGATACAGTTATAGTAGGCAGAAGTATGAGAGACATGGTGCAGTGCTTTACAGGGCTTGCGGACGCAGCAAGTGAATTAGAACTTGTGATAATCAATGAAAAAACCAAATAGATGTTGGTTTCTAAAAACCCTCGAAATATCCAACAGAGAATTCAAATTAACAACCATACCTTTAAGCAAGTCAAAGAATTTACATCGACTAGTAAAAGCAACAAACACGACAAGCGACGAAATAAAAAGACGCATAGTCAATAGCAAACAGAACTGTTTACGGTCTCCAGAAACATTTAAAAAATAAAAATATAAAACGTGCAGTAAAGCTCAATATATACAAGACCTTAATAAGACCGGTTTTAATATATGGGCTGAAACGTGGACCTTATCTCCAAATGATGAAAGACTTCTTACTATTTTTAGAGAAAAATTCTTAAAAAGATTTTTGCTGCCGTAAATGAAAATGGTCTATGGCGTCGAAGATACAACTTTGAACTATATCAGTTATACACCGATCCAGATATTATGAAATTCGTTAAAGTGCAGAGACTTAGATGGGCTGGACACATTGCTAGGATGTCAGATCACGAATACACGAAGAGATTAACATTTTCAAAACCAGAGGGCACAAGAAGCAGAGGACGAACACGAATGAGATGGATTGATGATGTGGAAAAATAACTACAGATTCTAAGGGTTAGAAGATGGAGGGAAGTTGCCAGGAATCGACAGTAATGGCGACTTCTTTGTGAGCAGGGATTATTTTTAATAAAATAGCTTAAAAATTTGGAGAAAAACAAGAAAATAAAATTGTTTGACGATAAAAATAGGTCAACGCTTCTAAAGACTCATAGAAGACGAATTCATAGATAACTAGCTGATATTTTGAGGATGCTTTCATTAATCGTAGCAAAAACAACTTTTCAAATTGTCTGACGGAAATTGTTTTCTGATTTCCTTGTCTGACGCGTGAGAGTGGTCGATTATATGACAATCAAAAAATTTAAAAATGTATTAATAACCGACAGGCATTGAAAAGGTATGCGTAGAATATAAGTACTTACTACATGAGACAAGTCTCATGTATATGTATATATTTTATATATATATATATATATATATATATATAATATATATATATATAATGGGCCATAACTAGAGTCTAACGAGAGAAGTAATTTTACAAACGGTAACAAACCTACATTACCATTTATAATAATTACAATCTTATAATTAGCAGTTATTGTTATTTTAACAATCAATATTCAACTTTTTCGAAATATTAAAAAAAGTACTTTATAATAGAAAATAATGTAAATAAATGTCAAATATTACATTAAATCATTAATGAAAGTAAAAAAAAATTCAAAAACTTTTAAAATCATGAAACAAATCACATTAATCTTTTTTATGATATTATAAATACAATGGACTGTATATTAGGATATGAATAAATAAATCTCAAATATTGCATTAAAAATAATAATTAGTTAGTATACAAATTTTTGTACATTTTCAAAACAAAAAAATTACAAATTGTCTATTAATCATTTGCATCTATTTAACGTGTCTCCCGTAAATATATTTTCACCGTGATTCGATTTTCACACAAAACACTGTATTTTTCTAAATTTTTTTATTAAATATTTGAGGCACACGTGTATACGTTATTGTAACGTAATTATTAAATTTAAAATTAAATCATTCAAGAAAGTATTAAATTAAATATAATTATTTTGTAAATAATTTTTTCATTATCAAATTAATTTTTCAATTACTAATATTGCGTATATTTATGAAATGAAAAAGGTACATATAAAAAGTATATAAATATGTACTTGCAATAGTATTGCAAAAAAACTAATTAATTTATAATTATATTTTAAGCCTAAGACTAAAAAATGCTAAATACATTTCATCATAAAATTAAAAATCAGATTTTAGTTATTGTTTTAAAATTATGGTGAAAAAATCAACTGGTTATTAATAAGTACAGACCAAACAACGTGATCGGAAGTATAGCCGGAAGTCGATATTTGAACTCTTTGTTGATATACAATTTCTCTAATTTTTAGAGCTTTTTTCAGTCATTATTGGTTATGATAAATACAAATACAAATAAATGGAAAAATAACTACGCATATACAATTTCCAAAATGGATACTAGGAAAAATATCTCTACATTTTAGATATAGCATCAGACTAGACCATTTTATCTAACATACATCAAACCATTTCAAATACAATTGTTACATAAATACTACTATACTTATTAGTTCAATTTTTATTAAATTTGCATGTACTAACCTGGATTCAGAAAATGTACTAAGAATTTGGCTTCCCCTGTGGTTGAATTTGATGTACCTTCTCCTTCAAGAACATGTGTTTCGTTTGTTCTAAAAGTTAAAATATTTTATAAGTTTATAAAAATATATATAAACAAATATCTAAGGATTTTGTATATTTATACAAAAAACTACATAAAATGTATAAACGTCAATTTATTTCGCATTGTGAATTTTAAATAATTAACTAACCGTAGATAATGTTATGACTAAGTCGCTGAAGTTGCAATGTTCATTTTATTTCATATATTTTAGTCTTCAATATTACAGACAGTACCTATAGATTTTACCTAATGTTCTTGGTATTCTTGTAGCAGGCAATCAATTATAATCCCGTAATAAAAGGGTGTTTAAAATGTTTATTGTACATTCAAAAGCTAAGTATCTTGATAAAAAACTGCTGAATCTACAAGGTTAATTGAAAGTGTAGCCACATGTTGTGAAACAAGATACGCATGACCTGTGCTCCAGTTTTCTATTGAAAACAAATATTTATTGCAATATAGTATTTTTGATATTTATAATATTTTTACCGTTTATTGAATTACTGTATTTATCTCAGTATTTGTAAGATATGTCTTCTACTAACCACATAAAATTAAATTACCGTTCGCTGATTATATTTGCAAGGATTGTTAACACCAAGCAATTTTTAAGTCACTATACTTAAAATACCAGTCTAAAACAAATAATAGCAACTGATCAAAGTGATGTTAACAAGCTTAACTAATATTGCAGAACGTCAGCTAAGTGATTACAATTGTTTAAAAAGCTAAGCCGACCAAAGATTATGAATGAACAAGCGTATACTTCTTAAATGGTGTCTTTTCTATTGTTTTCTGTTGTCACCAAGTATGTAGTAAATGACTATATTACTGTAAGGTATTAAATATCATAACAATTAATTTTTTTAAGTTTCTTGACTTAATAATGTTTGTTAGAAAAATTCTAAAAAGTTTTGGTGATAACATATACCTCAGCATGTATTTTGTTGTACATAAAGCTTTACTTACTCTGAATTAATATATTGGGTACGACTTTTTACATTTCCATCGGAGTCTACTGCAATATTGGTAACAACACATCTTCCCTGATCTTCCAGTGCAGTTGGGTATCTTGCTTGTTCGTACCAGTCACCCAAATACTAAAAAATGGTCAAAAATAAATATAAATTCTTAAAATCATCAAATATAACTTTAAATATATCAAAACATTTAGATGTTAAACATAAAGTAAGTATCTTTTAATTATTATTTAAATTTTAAGTTAATATTTTAAAAATATGAACTTTGAATATTGAGCTTGAACACAACATGTCCTGGTGTAGTAAGGAAAAATTATAATTTTCTCTCGCACTTCTATTTACAAACTTATCTTTCCTATTGCAAATGTATCAACAATGACATAAAAAGTTAGTTCAATAGGAATAAGTCTTTTGTAATCCACTACTTTTGTATCTCTTCGAACGAGCCTGAGCTCCAACTGTCATATACTATCTTTTAGAGGGACTGCTTTATTTTATCCATTGTTAAACAAACTTGGTTTCGTATTGTTAACTATATTACCACTGATATATAAAGTTAATTTTTTATTGTTTCGCTGATAATCATTTTTTCTTCTTCTTTTTATTTTAATAGGAATGTCTTTTGTAATCCCCTATGTTTAGCCTTCTGATCTCTTCGTGTGAGCCTGAGCTCCAACTGTCATACTATCTTTTAAGAGGACTGCCTTATATTATTCATTTTTTTAATTGCTTATTCAGATCCTAAAAGTAAAAGTATCCATTGATATCCATTGATTAACCGTGCTCCGGCTAAAACCTTAACCACCGTTCCAGAGTAGTGGTCTTCCTACTCAAAAAATGAAAATCCATATATTAGCCATCACATTAAAAGAAGAATAACTATATTATATTACGAAAAACTTACAACTAACCCTACTTATAACCATGAATAAAAAAAAGAAAACAAAAGAACGATAATATTTTTGTGAGACCCTAAACTAATTAAACTTAACGGTTCTTGGCTCTCGAGAAAAAACAAACAAGATTTCAGACTCCTAGTTCAATTTCCTCCTCTGTTCTATTGCTCGTTCTTCTCCATCACCCTATAGATCAGACAGTGTACTTCTCTCCATTCTATCTGTCCTCTCATGTTTACCAAATTTCTTTCATGCAGCCTGCAATTCATTCGCCTCTCGAAGTGTTTCTTTTTATTTGCCAACCTTTGGTTTTTTGCTGTTTTGTTTGTTTTGTAACTTAAATAAAAATCTTTACTGACATAAAAATCAGTAAAGTAAAAATGCTGTTACACACCAAAAAAGGATTGATTGCCTATAAGAAATATATTGCAAACGAAAAAAAAAAGGAGAAATCGAAACTGTGGAATAAAATTAACTCCAAAAATCAATCAAAGAAGAATCATTACCAAAAAATTTAAAAAAGGTTAAGGCATAACAGAAGTCAATATTGAATATGGTAAACTTTACAAACACTTTTAAAACTCCCGAAAGATTGCGAAGAAGGAAAAATATATAAAAAATAAACTGTTAACTTACTGCAGCTCCATCGAAATTTGCAACTCCTTTAACATCTGGACATTTCTCAACAGGAATTTGTCCCTGTGCAGAGATTACAAGCAAACACAAAGTTATTGCCAAAACAATCATTTTCCTGTTTTTTAAACTCAGTCGAATTTGTTTCAATGTGTAACTACAATCTCCTTTTATACACCTATTTTAATGATTGATTTATCAATTCGCACTCAAAAATTACATCTAATCTGCTTCCATATCTTTAAAACAATTAACTTAGAACAGCCAAAGGTCGAAATAAAAGTTCTTGTGAAATGTTTGTATTCTAATTCCAAGACCAATGAATATTATTGTAATTCAGACGTGAAAAGTTTGACTAATTTGTGCTCCAATGCCATAATTTATTTCAACAGAACAATAGCAAGCTAAAAGCTACTAATTTTTGCACATTTCGACAGGCCAGAGGACAGAAGATTGGAAACAGAAGTTGGATTTTTTGGTTTGAATCGGAATCAGCTCGAACGGCTGAAGTAGAAATACTGAAACTGCTACTGCTATCAGAGCAATAGCAAGCTTTTGCGAAAAGCTACTGATTTTTGCGTATATATATATATATATATATATATATTATATATATATATATATATATATATGTGTATATATGTATATATCATCATCATCATCATGCAACCTCTTCTGTACACTGCTGAGCATAGGTGCGTCTTGTTTTGGGGTATATTATATATATATATATATATATTATATATATTTATATATATATATATTTATATATATATATATATATTGATGTCAAATGTTTTGACAATTTGAATTGTCAATTTTTTTGTTTTATGATTAAATTATAAGCAATGAATTTTACTAAATACTATTACTAGTGAACAATATAACTTTGTGAACAATAAATTATATTTTTTACAAATCGATCATATAATGAAATGTACTCAGTTGATCGAAAAATCGCATAATGTTGTATTCAGGCAATAGCGCGAACCTTTTCCTGTCACTACCGGATCTTTATTTAACGTAAGATATTCTAATACACTAAAATTTAATTCCATGTTAAGTTAAGTTATACAACAATTCAATTAATTCCAATATACTGTTACTGTGATCTTGATTCCTAAAAATAATTTATGATAATTTCTAAACATAAAACTATAACAAATGTTATAATAAAACATGAATAAAACATTTTAATTATTGCTTTTTTCTCCTTGACTGGGTACATTTTTTAATCAACTTAATATTTTTTAAACAATAAATCACAAAATAAAAATATTGGCCATTTAAATCATAGATAAATATAATATAGTTGATTTAAATATTGTCAAATATTAGAAACGTCAATATGACAAAACGCAATACGTAATACACATTTTTTTCACGACGTCTGTCCTGACTTTTAGGGGTGGCCTGAAAAATGTATTATATTTTAGCAAAATTTTGGAAGTCGTAGAACAATTTTAACAATTGTTTTCGATACATATTTGAGTCCTCTACAAATAGTTTCCCATGACTTTTGTTGTAAAATAATTAGGGAAGCAGGAATTCAACAATTTAGAATTTCCCATTAAGTTTCCTATGGCCCGTTTGACGATTCACCACATATACATATATATATATATATATATATATATATATATATATATATATATATATATATTACAGATTGAAACGAAATAAATTCGGAACATAGGAATATAATGTATTTCGGCTCAATTCTGCTGTAGGTGGTTGGCCAACAAAATATTGTCAAATAATTATATTATAAAAATCCAATACTTCAGCGGGCTGCTGGATTCTGAACTCATAAAAATTGAAAGCTACACATAAATCTACGATTTATGCTGTCAAACCAGTTATAGTCCAGGAAATGAAGCATTTCAGCTCGCAATTTTTTCGTGCTCCCTGGATTGACTTGAAATTTAACAGAAGGTAGGTAATAGCCTAAGGATCAAAATCTATATCGAACCAAAGTGCGCCAAAGCCTAGGGGTGGTTGCCACCCCATCTCCGGGGTGAAAATTTTTTTTACGTTTTAACTACAGGTTTCGATTAAAAAAGTGATTCTAAACAAAAAATGTGCTATACATTTTTTTTATAAAATGATATTTTTCAAGTTATCCGCGATTGAAAGTAATAACTTTTAGACGAAAAAATCCACGTTTTTAATCGATTTTTCGCGAATAATTCGAAAATGGTGCATTTTATCAAAAAAATTGTAGAGAACAAATTTGTAGCTTTTAAAAAGACAAATACAATTCATTTTTTAAATGTTTTTGGGATATAATAGGAACCGAAATACGGCCTATCAATGTTCAGCGGTTTTCTTCAAATGCCAAATTTGAAAGATTCAAAATCAAATATCGGGAAAATGATGCATTTTTGGAAGAAAACTCACAAAACCTTTTTTAAAGAGCATAAATAGACCTATCATAAAAAAGACTCTAGCTCAAAAATTGAGTGAGTTATGATGAAAATAAGGTCAATACCTCATTTTTTACGAAAAAATCGAAACAACACCCTAACCTCCTCCATAATTAAAATCGATCTTTACCCTTCTGAAATTCCCTTTGTACATGTATTGTTAATACGTCCAAGAAGTTTGACCCATTTAAAATGCTTTGTGTTAGAAAAAGTACAGCTTAAAGCGAGAAACGATTTACAATTTCATATTTTTTACCCTTCTTTTTTTAAATATGCCCGAAAATACTGAATATATGAAAAAAATACAAATTACCAAATTGTAGCTTTTTTAATGACTAAAATTATCCTTCATTTAGATTTGTTGTACAATGAATATTTGGCGAGATATAGCCGTTTAAAGCATCGATTTACGATCAAGCACCATCTTTTTCGAGCCCTTTAAACTCACCCCATTTAAAAACCAAGGGTTCCAAAAAGATTTAATTCACAGATCCTTGTAGCTCTTAAAAACCTCTACAAATCGTTTTTGAAGAAACACTCTATCGTTAAAAATTAAAGAAATACGTTAAAAAAACCAGTGAATTTTTTTCCGGAAAATTCTATTAGTATAGTACAGTACATTTCGGAGCATAATAATCTACAAAACCGGTATATTAGCTAGTGGGGCGTTATACATTCGAAATTTTAAGCGTTCTTATTTTGAAATCCCATACAACAGAATAAAACATCTGCTCATATGTCTATGGCTTGGCAATGAAAATATTAGAGCAACAGATTGGGGATGGTATTCCAAAGATGGTTTGTTATTACCCGTACGCATGAACAAACAACCTGCACTCGATGAACTTTTGAAAATTATTTTTTGGCAATGCAAAAAAGGATGCGGTGTTTCATGTGGGTGCAGAAAAGTTGGTTTATACTGTAACTCTACTTGTTCTGGTGCTCAGGTGAAGGGTGCAATAATAGTCCACCAATAATTGAAGATGAGGATGACATAGATCACGATGAAGATGTAATTGATGACGAATAAAATTAATATTATAATTGTTTTACCTATAAATGTAAATATTTTCTACTATTTATGTAAATGTATAAGAATATATGGTGCCTTTTTATGTTGATAAATTTTTTTGTATTTAATTCTACTTTTTTCAATTTATATCTTATAAATTAGTTTATAAAAACTGCAATGTTGTAAAGGGTGATTTTCAAAAGTTGAAAAGTTGCAAAATTTTGGCAAAAAATTGTTTTCACCTATAGCACTCATAACAATTGATTTTTAAGGGTTGAAAATGTATGAATTTGTATTTTAAAGTATAAAAAAATCAATATTTAACTAATCCAAACCAAATTTCACTCATCTTAAGATTTATAATATTATTTTACAATTTTTGAAAATTAGGGGTAGTTTTCATCCCTAAGAACAATCAGGGTTCATCGGCATGACATAAACTATAAAGCAGAGGGTGAGTTGAGCTTAAGTCCAAATTTTTATGCAAATCGTTCCAAGGTGAAATCATTTTCTTCGCATTACTAATTTTTTTATATTAATCTCTAATAAGGGTCGCTTTTTAAGGGTTGAAATATGATGGAACTTTATTCAAAAGCACGAAACTATCATTATTTAATTAATTCAAACCAAATTTTACCCATATTCAGGTTTAATATGTTATTTTATAATTTTTGACAATTACGGGTAGTTTTCACCCCTTAGAACAATCAGGGTTCGTCGACATGACATAAACTATAAAGCAGCGGGTGAATTGAGCTTAAATCCAAATTTTTATCCAAATCGATCCAAGGCGAAATCATTTTTTTAGAATTAGTAATTTTTTTACATTAACCTCTAACAAGGGTTGCTTTTTAAGGGTTGAAATATGATGGAACTCTATTCAAAGTATAAAATAATCATTATTTAACTAATTCAAACCAAATCTTACCCATATTCAGGTTTAATATGTTATTTTATAATTTTTGACAATTAGGGTAGTTTTCACCCCTAAAACCCTTCAGCGCACTTCGGTTCGATATAGATTTTGATCCTTGGGCTATCACCTACCTTCTGTTAAAATTTCAACTGGATACATGCAGGACGAAAAAATTGCGAGGTTTTAACTTTTTTCGAGATTCATTTCCTGAACTATTATCGTTTCCTTAGACAAACCCGTCTTACGCAAACAACATTGTTGTGAGACAGATAGTTGAACGATATTTTATACAATGTCTATACCCAGGTATGGATTTATTTTTGTCCAAGTTTTATATTGGTCCACTATTTCAAATGCAGTTCAAACAGACATGTATTAAATTGTATGTTCCGTTTTAATTTGGTTCAATCTGTATATATATATATATATATATATATATATATATATATACATATATGTATATATACATATATATATATATATATATATATATATATATAATATACATATAATATATTATATATATATATATATATATTATATATGTATATATACATATATGTATATATATATATATATATATATATATATATATATATATACATATATGTATATATACATATATATATATATTATATATATATATTATATATATATATATATATATATATTATATATGTATATATAAAGTAGTCCAAAATTTTTTGACTAGCTTGGAAAAAATATGTAAATACTTTTTTCTTTTTGGGTGTGGTAGTCAATAAAAAATAGAGCTTAGATTTGCTAAGGCGTACTATTTATTCTGAATCCAAGCTTTATATATATATTA